TGCTGAGAATATTAAAAATAAAGGGAAGCAGACTCATTTGAGTTTGCCTGCTCAGAAGGAGCTCTCCCCTATCCAGTACATACACGTTGTAGGCACACAGCAGGCATTCACTGCTGTAAGTGACTCCGTTAGAACCGCAGACAGGGCTAGGGGCCTTAGGGCAGAGTGGCACCTCTTTGCCTTCGTCATTTGTAGTGTTGGGATATCTACTGCAGTCCACCTGTCAAAGGAATGTACAACAGCATGGCAGTGAAAACATCTTAAATGTGCATCTCATTTTACATGAGAGAGAGACAACTTCCATGCAGTGGATTTTTCACTTTATTGTCGCTGCTGAAGAACAAACTTGGGCAGGTGCATCAGTCTGGTAATGGGTGAACCCTTTCTGTAGGGATACCTGTGCCCCATTTTAAAAAAACCGGCAGAAAAATCTTCCACTCACCTCAACCCCAAAAGCAGTATCTGGAAAAGAGGAGAAGAAAAAAAAAAATAGACAATGTGAAAAAAAGCCAATCAATAAGATCTGTAGCTAAAGTTAGTAACTTTAACTAAAATTAAGCATCTGAAGGTAGCATTCCTAAATGCTGTATCAAACTGTATGTTTTTACTGAATGGTTTCCTGAAATATTAAAAAAGGGTAAATCCTTTTCTATACTGATAAATAGAAGAGTGTTTCTTGTTGCTGATTGTGAAAATTGTTTTTAGATAGCTTTTTTTTTCTTTTAATATAAACAAACTTATTAACTGAATAGAATACCTTTTCCTTCTTTATCTTTCACACACTGTTTTTGATTCTAAGGAATAGCTATCACATATCTGAAAAGATACCCAAGTAAATACAGACAAATGCAAATTGTCATCAACAGGATAAACAAACATATACAGCACCTGTTGTGAGGAATATGCATTTCAAAAGAGCAGAGCATATTATAAAAAAAAAAGTCTTTGTCTTTGCAATTCCATCAGATCTAAATATGCAAAGAAAACACTAAATTTTGGCTTGTTTTCATCTCTCAGTTTTCTGTATTGCACATAAGTGCCAGGCTTATGCACAGAACTTGCTTGTGCCATTACAATATTTTCCATGAGTAGTTACTTGAGGTCTGAGCACCTCATAATGGCCTTGGTTCAAGTACCCTTTTACCTTAACTGTACACAACATTAACTACAAGGGCAGAGTTCCACTTGAGATTATTTGTATTTTTGATGGACAAATTACAATAATAATCCACTTAACGTGCAGAAATTTGGTCGTATATTCTGTGCAATGTCAACTTACTGAGACAGACTGGTTCTTTGTAGGATAAGATTCTCTCTCTTTGAGGACAATATATGTATATATATATATTTATATATTTTAAGATAGTCAGGTTTCTTTCTCTCAGATCCTAAGCCTCTGCAGTGCCTTGTGAGATACTCACCTGGGAAGCAGCAAAGTGCAAGAGAGAGCAGTGCAAAAACACTTGCCATGGTCATGGTGGAAGTATTTCTTGAGGCTGCAGGCTGCCCGCTGCTGCTGTGCTCACAAGATGGTCTCCACAAGGCAGACTGTGAATATATACAAATGCAGGTGTCTAAACTGTTCAACTGTAACACAAAACAACCAGCCGAATCTGTCAGTGGTACAATGAGGCTGGTAATATTTATTGAGATCTTGACTTTCAGGTAATGGTCTGCCTCTACTAGACAATTGATTTTGGCTGGACATTTGGTTAATAGCTTGACACAAATATCACTTGTTCCATGGGCAAAACCAAACAAACAACTTTTTGACAAAGAAAACAACTCAGGATGCCAGTGGAAATGTATGTAGCACAAAATAGCAAAGGGATTAAACAGCGGATTTGTCATTCTTCTCTGCAGTGTGAAATCTCCCAGTAGGATGCCCACCTCCCAGGAGCTGTATAGGTATGAAATACTGCCCTGTTTGCAAATTAGGTAAGAAGCTCTGATTTCCGTTCTATTTTCTGGCTTTTTTTCCCCTGCCTTTCCAGATATCCACCACTAGGCCATGCGTGAACATGGGTCAGATGAGGTTTTGCTATCAGCAGAATTAGTTAAACATTGCCAGGTGGCTCTGGAAGGACTGTGTCTAACCTGAGTTATTGGTATTTAGTGCTAGTTTGATAAGAGTTGCTTTTGGCAGCTTCACTACTGAGGTATAGAAAAGCTCAGCAGAAGACTTGAAAGCAGGTTAGATTTTGTCAAACTCCACTAAAAGTGTCACTCGAACCTTATCAGCAGAGAGTACTTATTTACAGACCAAGTCACAGCTAAACGAATTGATTCAAAATGTTCTGCCAAGACATCTCAAGAACAAATGACACTGAAGTTTTAGGAACACGGCACAGTTAGATTTGAAGGTGCAACAGATCCTTTCCCGGTACAGATATTCTGGAAAATGATGCTTAAAAACAGAGCCTGTCCTAATTTCCCAGTCTGTCTCACACCTCCAGCCTCTGTACAGTGTCTTTCCAAGCTTCTCCTTCCTAGAAGGAGGCCTTGGCCTCCACTATTTTAAAAAAAGATAATTTTGCAAGAGTGGGTTCTTCCCTTAACAAAAATATTTCACTATAGTTTCTCTGACAGGTCTTGACTAGTGAGTCTACCTGTTGAGTGTCATGAACTTTAAACACTTGACATAGACTTCGACATTGTGAGAGCGACAGAGCAAGAGAGGCTTTACAGGCATTCCAAAAAAAAAAAAAAAACAAACAAACAGTGCACCACACATCAGCCCACTAAAATCCTTGAAATTTCCTCTGTGGTTCCCATGAAACATGGGCACACGATTCTCCATATACACTGAGAAAAAGTGCACACATGAGAAGACACCATAAGGCTGCCTCCTAAGCAGATCACCGAATTCAACAGTGGTCCGAAAAGCAGAGAGCCACACAGTATGTGCAAGAAAAAAAGAAAAGTTAACAATATAAAAATAAATCTATTTGGAAATCTATTTTCCAAAAGATCATTTTCTGCATCTCCATCTTTGTTCCTGACTTCAGGACCTAAACTAGGCAACCACTAAAGCACTAAGACACCAAGAGTAACTACCATGCTGACCCAGGCCCTTAACCCCCCACTAAACCTAAGGCCACCCCACAGTCAGCCCTTGCTAAGGGGGCCCAGGAGGTGCCCAGGGCAGAGTTTTATCATTTCAGTTGCCCAGTTCAACCTTGTGTGCCCAGCTCTGACCCTGAACAACACATAGGTTTCCTTGGACCACCAAAACATCTTTTTTTGAGAGAGAGAGATCACTCCCACCATTCAACTCTCAGGCTTACAGACGAGAAGTCTACAAGACAATTAAGTGCTGACTGAGAAAAATCAGCCTCCCTTAGTGCACTCATGTAGTCCTCTCAAGCAAGCCAGAAACACAACCCCCAGCAATTGCTGGGCTTCAGAACATGGAGGGAGGTCACTTCATGGCCTCCTTTCTCCATGCAGCATCTTCAGCTTCCAGTTCTGGGCAGATGGGAGGAATAGCTCCAGCTTCTCCTTCTGCAGGGTGGAAATCCCCCAGCTATCAAGGCTTTGTTGTAGTTGCTCTGTTCTCCTAGGAGAACAGCTAGAAAGAGGATTTTCCTTGAAATCCTGCCACTGATCTCAGGCTATAATCCTCTGCATTGACCTCTCCCCTTTTAATCATTGAAATCAGATGCAGCATATGGCTAAATGACCACTTGGCTAGGGGGAAATCCCCATGTGTGCAGAGGCCAGCACAAGGCTAAAGACCTGGTAGCAAGTAAAGGCAGTGCCACACTTTATGGTCCTGAGCTCCAGAGAGCCCCTGGCCTCATATTACTGCAGGATTTGGCCACTGGTGTAACATCTTCTCTTACTTGCCCTAGGAATGCCTTGTTTTACATTTTCCATTACAGTTTTTGACACAGTTGATCCCAGGTTCTCTGGAAAAATAAAAATTGAAGTTAGGACATTTTCTGTGCAAATAATGTGGTTCACTGATAAATAAAGTACGTTACAAACTTACTACACTTTTCCAAACATTCCTTGACTTTGTCATATTATTTAATTAACAAGTAGTTGCTGTATAAGTGGGAAATAGCACTAATCATCTATCCTCACTCAAAAATGCCCGAAAATGCTAGCTAAGTTTAATTCAAACTACAGTTTCCATTTTTGTTCTTCGCTTCTCCACGGTGTGGCCTATAACTATTTACACTGTGCCACACACCTGGAAAAACTGAGAGGGCTGAAGGCAACATCTGAAATAATCTAAAATAAAAAACAAACAAAACTACCAATGTAGTTAAAACATATCAGTATGAAAACATATCCTTGCATTTATGAACTCATTAAATAGAGATTGATTCAAGTACTGTCAGTGACTGTTTCCCTGAACTAACACAAACATGAGCAGAACTTTGAACCCTGTGGGTAAAAGCTAACATAGTTTCACATTTCTTATGTGATGAATTTAATGTGCTGGTCCCCAGTAAAAGTACAGATATTGACATGCTGGAAGGAGTTCAGTAGAGGCACCAGCAGATCAGGGACTGGAGCACAGGGCACATATGTGGAGGCTGAAGGACTTGGACTTGGCCAGCCTAGAGAAGAGAAGGTTACAGGAGGTCTAATTTCAACTCTCTAATGGAGATTATACAGAAGATAGTCAGACCCTTCTCAGGGCTATACAGCGAAAAGATGAAATTCTGATCAAGTATTATATTTATATATATATATATATACACACACACACACACTTTTTCTTTGCCACAAAGCTGGTCAAACAATGCTGCAGTGACCAGAGAAATTCTGGACTCTCCCTCCTTGGAGATACTTAAAACTTGACTGGACAAGGAATGCTGTAAGCATACTGATAGGACATTGAGGTTGGACCTGCTCTGAGCAGGACTTGGACAAGCAACCACCAGGGAGAGCTTCCAACCTAACTTATTCTATTGGGACAGTAGTTATATAATGTTACCTCCTACAAATGACTTTTATTAATGAAATGTATCTCTATGACTCAGGAGAACAGTCTCCAAATTTTCCTATGACCTTTGCTCAAAACAACAGGTAAGCATTTGCCAGAATAGTTGTCTGCCTTGCAGAAAATAAACTGCCAAAACAGTGGCCCCTTTATTTCTGTGCTACCACATGGGTCTGATGTAGGTCTCACAGTATCAGCCCTAAGAGTTCATACATCACTCCTCACCTCACTAGCTCACATGGTGCTCCAGCTTCAGTCAGGCTTCTGGATGGCAAGACCATCAGGTCAGAGACCTGTTCCACAGGGCAAGAGCTGCTCACATAAAATTCAGGAGAATGCTAGAACAAGCAGCAGAAAAAGTAAGCAATAAATAGCAGAAAACTTGGTTGGACAACAGCTCAGGGTTTTACTCTCTGGAGTAAACACTCTGCAGCACAGGTGACTTAGAAGTTGAGCAGGAGATGTTATCTTGAAGCTGGTCAGAGGAAGCGGAAATCATTGGTTTAATCAGTTTTCCTGACACTTCAGTGATTTCAGCTGTGTGTTCCTGACCGCTCATTTTGTCTTTGCCTCAATCCAATAGTAACAATGAAAAGGTGGCTGTGGGGAAGCAGCAGCCAAGTCAGGTTTGATATCGTTTACTGCTGCCTGGCAGAAGAAATTGACTTTGGTAGCTTCACTGCTAAAGCTGAGAATGTCCCCTTCCGGATTTTTGGGTCAGGAGGAATTCTTCCAAGGGAAAAAAAAAAAAATAGATTCTTATCTGCAAGGAGGCAGTATTTATAGACCAATGCACAGTGAAAACAGAATGAATGATCATGTGCTGCTACAAAAGCAAATTGCTTTGAAGTTATGTAAACCAAGGGAATATTTGAACACATCTCCAAAGGACAGCAGATGAGGCGCTTGCTAGCTACCAGTCACCTAGCAGCACACACGTCACTAGAGCAGCACACATCACAGGGACGGTGGCTCCATCCCTTGGATTTCAATCAGCTACCCAAGGCACCAGAGACCGGCTGTATGTCATTGCAAAGAAAGGTCTATTGGCAGGGAAAAAAAAAAAAGGAGATTTTAATGGGCTAACGAATAGGGTAAGAAAAAGTAATTTGGTATAGTGGGGCTGAGTAATTATGACACCCCCTGAGCAGCAAAGATGAATACTAAGGGCTTGAGGAAAATCCCTTGGATAGCTGCATCCTGACACATGTTTGCAGAAGGATACTATAGAGAATTGGATGCAGAAAGATATTGAGGAGATAGGTGATGGGGGCTGGCCAGACTGTTCTGAGGCAGACTGACCTAACTGTGCTATACCCCGTGCTCAGCTTATGGCCATGCCACGTACCCCACGCACACAAACTCTGTACCACAGGATGCACCCGTGCTGTTTACCTGCTATTAACACCAATTGAACTGTAACACAGGATGGTCACGCGCTTAGTAGTTATATGAGAGCATAAATTTCCCTTCCTCTCCTGCTCCTCACTATGGACTGGTGCTCAGAGGTGCCTGGAAT